AATAGAGGGAGACAACTGGAGCGTTTTGTGGTTTCCTTTTACATTCTTTGGCTTCAAGTTCTTGCATCATGAGAGTCCCAACTCGGCCTGTTGTTCCTATACTAATTGGCCCATCACTTGCTTTATCTCTCAATGTATGCAACATTTTTTCCTCAGTCATATCTGATCAAATTTGCTCCCGGAACTGAAAAAGAAAAAGTTCAGATTCATGCTTACACATGTAAGGTCTTCGACGAAAAGGAAACAAATTTTTGACCCTTAACATGGAGAAGCGTTGAATAACAAATCAAAGTAAATAAATGAATTTGTCAAGTTAGATGAGGTGGTTCGACACATCAAACATCATTTTAGAATTCAAAACAACGTGTTATATATAAAGCGACAGCATACTAGTTAATCCACAAATTCAAACTAATACAGAGAGATCTACGAGAATGTTCTTTAAATAGTGATCTATACCTTCTTGACCATTTAAGAGAGGAACTCTACACATTTTTCATCCAAAGATTTAATCTATCAGAGCTTTAAGGTTCTAAGTTGTTGGATGCCTGTAATATGCTACAATTAATTCAATTTTGTATTATTAATGAAAACAGAAACAAGGAAAATAATCAAAAAGAAGAAGATAATATATACGCGCGCCTCGTTTCATACCAGAAAGTGTGGTGCAAGGCTGCAGGCTGAAGGTCCTCTTCCAATTTTTGACCCTTCTTCTGCAACTCAAAATGGTTTTGAAAGAAATATATTGCCAAATACATGCACCTATATTATCTTTTGTTTTTGCATTGTTTAGTGAAATGGCTCAGTCAGGACGTAATCCATTCGTTGACTTAAATATTATATTTGAGTCTATGCAATAGAAATGCATTTACTAATCTAAGTTACATGAACACTTGAATTAATATTATCTTTCTAAGAGACCATTAAATAGTATGAACGCAGATATTAACTGAATATTCCCTTTTGCTTTCTGTCCTCTATTATTACTCTTAGGGTAATAGGCACGAAAATCCCCTAACGTTAGTCTATTTTATGAAATATCCTGAACCTTTCGTTTTGGTGGAACACCGAACACCCCCGGGGCGGAGCCAGAAAATAACATTAAAATTGGTTAAAATTTTAAAAATTTCGAATGAACTCGCGCCATAAAAGGCTAAACTCATGACAAAGAGTGTATGACACTCAATGAAATAAAAGAAGTGTAGATGTTTCATCCTATGATGTCCAACTCGATCTTTTTATATTTTCTTTTCAAATAGAAAATCAACGCATTGGTTAAAAAATATAAATTGACCAAATCATGATCGAAATAAGCAAATGCTACATATCCACTAATCAAAAACTAAGAAATTATTTAATGAGTACTATTCTAAAAAACT